CTATTGCCAGCCACTGAAGCATAAGTTTGATCCCTGGATGGCCAGGGAGCTGACCCACATGGTGCAGCAGACTTCTCCTGACTGCCTGCTGCTCCCCTCATCAGTGTATTTCAGTAGATCTGCCTGTTCTGCTCCCCACTCTTTGGTGAATCCTCTCACCCCCGGCACCTCTGGCTCACACCCCAGTTCTTGAATGCATAAATAAATAAATCTTTAAAAAAAAATCTCACAAGAGAAACTATCCAAAATACAACAGAGGACAAAGACATTTAAACACCCCTCTCTCAATAATTGCTCTAACAAGGAGACAAAAATTCAAGCAATAGACTTAAGCCAGTCTATCAACCAATGTGACCTAATTGACTTAATGCAACATTCCACTGACAAAGCAGAAAGCATATTCTTTGCAACTGCACACGGAGCACTCATCAAAATAAATCATATTGTGGGCCATAAAACTAGCCTTAATTAATTTAAAAGGAATAAAGTCGTACAGTTTGTTTCCTACCCACAACGGAATTAAATTAGAAATCAGTCACAAAGATATCTGGAAATGCTCGAAATATTTGGAAACAAAATAACCCATTTTTAAAAATATTTATTTATTTATTTATACAAGCACTGGGTACAGCCAGATGCGCAGGAGGGTGAGAGAATTCACCAGAGCCAGAGCGGGGAGCAGAACAGGCAGAAGGACCGAGGTACACTGCTGAGGGGAGCAGCGGGTGCAGCAGGAGAGGTCTGAGCACCATGTGGGACCCTCGCCAGTGGCCGGGGATCGAACCGGCGCTGCAGAGGCTGCGGGCAACCTCACAGCCCAGCTCTCAACCGCTGCACCACCGGGGAGGCCCCAAAATAACACATTTCTAAGTCAATTCATGTATTAAAGAAGACTGCAAAGAGAAATTAGAATGCATTTTGAGCTGAATAAAAGTAAAACACCTTATTAAACTTTGTGGGATGCCACAAAGTAAAGCCAAGTATATGGCATTATAGTTCTACATTGAAAAACAGTGTCCACCTTAAAAAAACTAGGAAAATAACAACTTCCAGACTGTGTTCCACAATGGTTGTGCCACTTAGCATACACACCAACAGTGTATGAAGGTCCCCTTTTCCTGATAATAAGCAATTATATTTTACTTATTATTTTTTAAGAGAATCAAATCCAGGGTCTCCCTGTTGGCGCAAGGGGTTAAGAACAGCACTATGAAGCTATTTGTAGCCTCTACAGCACGAGTCTGATCTCTGGCTGGCTGAAGAGCTATCCACATGGCGCAGCAGACCTCTCCTGTCTCACTCGCTGCTCTCCTCAGCAGTGTATTTCAGTCAATCTGCCCCTTCTATTCCTCACTCTGTCTCTGGTGAATCCTCTCGTCCCCCCACACCTCTGGCCTGTACCCCAGTTCTTGCATGCATAAATAAATATTTTAAAAAAAAAAACAAAAGAAAAAAGAACATCAAATCCATCCTAAAAATTATAAGATGAAATTCCATTGTGGTCTTGATTTGCATTTCCCTATTAGTGATGCTGAATAGCTTGTCAAATACCTGTTGGCCATCGGTCTGTCTTTTTTTGAGAAATATTTATTCATTTGCCTATTTTTAAATCAGTTTATTTGTGAATCTTGTGTTTTCTGTTTTTGTTTTTACTATTGTATCCTAGGAGCTCCCTGTATATTTTCATAATAACCCTTTCTCAGCTATGTGGTTAAGCAAGCATTTTTTCCCCATTCCATAAGCTGTCCTTTCATCTTGTCGATTGTTTCCTTTGTACTGTGCTTTAGTCACCAAAGAGAATTACCATATCATCCAGCAACCCACTTATGAGTATATTTCCAAATGGACTGAAATCAGGAACTCAAACAGCTATTTGCAATCCCATGTTCGCTGTACCACTGTTCATTAGTCAAAATAAGGAAACAACCTAAATGTGCATTGAGAGATGGATGGAGAAAGAAAATGTGTTATATACATACAATGGAATATTGTTCAGTATTAACACAGAAGGAAATCCTGACATTGGAGACAACATGAATGAACCTGGTGGACATTATGCTAAGTGAAATAAACAAAACACAGGAGGACAAGTATTATGTGATACCACTAGTGTGAGTTATCTAAAAGCATCAAAATCACAGAGACAGAGAGTAGAAGAGTTTCCAGGAGCTGGGGGATAAGGAAAGGGAGGGAACTGTAAATCAAAATGCACAGTTTCAGATATGCAAGAAGAGTATGTCCTGGAGTATGGCATAGAAAATGCTAATTTGTATGCTTAAATTTTTTCTAAGAGGGTAAATATTAAGTATTCTTATAACAAAAGTAATAATAAATAAATAAGGAGGGTGAGCAAACTTGGTAGTAATAAATATCCTTATGGGATAGATTGTAGTTATGGTTTCAAGGATGTGAAATTGATCTCCAAACTTCCCTGTTTTGTGTATTTTATACATCTTTCTGTATGTCAGTAAATACCTCAGTAAAGTTGTTTTTAAAAAGACAAGTTAAATCTATACTAAGTAGAAGATATAAAATAAGATCAAGAGTGGAAATGAATTGGAAAACAAACCAGAATAAGCAATAGAGAAAATGGATGAACCAACTTGTGATTATCAATAAAATCAATAACTCTCTTTTTAGACAAGTCAGGAATGAGAAGGAAAATATCAACACAGATCATACATATATATGTGTATACATATACATGAATATGTATAAATAAATATATAGAGAACTAGATAAATATTATGAAATACTTTATGCCAATAATTTGACAACTTAAAGGAAATGAACAATTTGACAAATACAAGCTACTTAAGTTCATTCAAGAAGAAACACTTAATTTGAATAGCTGTCCATTTAAAAAAAATTGAATTTGTAGTTAAAACCTTAACATAAGTAAAACAGATGACTTCACTGATAAATTCTACATAATACTGAAGAGGGAAACAATACCAATCCTACAAAAACTCTTCTAGTACTCATACAACTTATTTTATGAGATACGTATTACTCTGTTGCCTATCAAACCACACAAGAAAATAGAACTACTGTATAGAGCAACGTCTCTCATAATGGTAGATGCAAAAGTATAAACAAAATTTCAGTAAACTAAACCCAACAATATGTAAAAAGGATATTCTGTCGTGAACAATTGAGATTTATCCTAGGAATCAAGGTTGGTTCACATTCAAAAATCAATTGCTGTAGTTCACCATATTAATAAACTGAAAATAAGGAACCACATGATCATCCCAAGAGAAACATAAAAAACACTTGACAAGTCCAATATCAATTCCTGATAAAAACTCAGCCTACAACTTACACTAAATGGTACAAGACTGTTTTTTTTCCAATGAGGAGAAAGGCAAAGATGTTCACCCTTCCCATTTCTGTTCAAAATTACAGAAGTTGGAGCCAGTGCAATATGGCAAGAAAAGGAAATCAAAGGCACAAATTCTATTTGCAGACAATATGATATTCTATGTAGAAAACCTAATATATAAAAAGCTACTAGAATTATGAGATGTTAGCAGTTGTCTGTATACAAGATCAATATGCAAATATCCACTGTATTTTTAAATGCTAATGATGCACAATCAAAACCTGAATTAAAGCAAAGGACCACAAGATAAAATATTTAAAACCAGTTTCATTTACAATAGCATCAAAACCCCAACAATGCTGGGAACAACCTGACAAAAGATGTACAAGATCTGCCTACTGAGAATTACAACACATTGCTGAGAGAAACTGAACACCTAAATAAACAGATAAACCATATTTGGGTGTTAAAAACTCATTATTGTCGGGCCTCCCCTGGTGGTGCAGTGGTTGAGCGCTGGGCTGCGAAGCTGCCAGCAGCCTCTGCAGCGCTGGTTCGATCCCCGGCTGCCGGGTGAGGGTCCCACATGGCGTGCAGACCTCTCCTGCCACCCACTGCTCCCCTCAGCAGTGTACTTCGTCAGTCTGCCTGTTCTGTTCCCTGCTCCGGCTCTGGTGAATCCTCTCACCCTCTAACTCTTCTGACTGTACCCAGTGCGTTTATAAATAAATAAACAAATCTTAAAAAAAAAAAAAAGAACTCAAAATAATCACCTATTAAAAAAAAAAACTCATTATTGTCAATCTCCAACTTGATCTAGAAAGTCAATGCAATGCAAATCAAAATTCCAACAGGCTTTTTTGAAGAAGAAAAAAGATAACAATTTAAAGTCAAATTAAGTAATGATGGCAAATCAAATAGGAATTAAACAATTAATAAACCAAGAGGAATTACCAATGGAAGAAAGGAAAAGGTTCAAATTCTTGAAATAAGGAGAAAGGAAAGATTTAAGAGAAAGAGGTCAAGACTGAAGAAATTACAAAACATATAACTCAATAAGGTAGTTTAGATTCTTCTAAAGCAGCATATTATTAAGACAATGGTGATTTCCTCCGTGTGTCAATCTCTCCCTTCCCTAGATTGAGGGATGAAGAGCCAGGTTTCTCACTTCCTATTAATTAACGTTTTGCTTCCCCTCTGAAATCTCAATTCCTGTTGTCAGAAATCCCCAGAGAGCAAAGGTTGCAATGTAATATTCCTCCTCCAGGTTCTCACAGACCACATAAGGACTAACACTCTTCCAGCATGACAAAGATGGCTTTTTTTAAAAAAAGATTTATTTATTTATTTATACAAGCACTGGGTACCGTCAGAAGCGCGGGAGGGTGAGAGAATTCACCAGAGCCAGAGCGGGGAGCAGAGCAGGCAGAAGGACCGAAGTACACTGCTGAGGGGAGCAGCGGGCGGCAGGAGAGGTCTGCGCGCCATGTGGGACCCTCCTCCGGTGGCGGGGGAGCAGCCGGGTTCAAGCTGGCGCTGCAGAGGATGCGGGCAGCTTCGCAACCCAGCGCTCAACCGCTGCGCCACCGGGGAGGCCCACAAAGATGGCTTTAAATGATGTTCTTTCTTGGAAGTTTCCAACTCATATATAATAGATGCAAAGAAACTCACTATTTTATCCAGCCCTAAACATTAGATTTTCACTTATCTGGTTTAATTACTAAGCTTTTATTTTTTACAGCGCAATCTTTCCCTTTGTAACTATTTGCATTTTGAAAAAGGCTAATATTTCAAGGTAAAATAAGAGGTTAAGACACAAAAAGACCTTCTTTTGAAGAAAACAAATGTCTTTTGTTTGTTGTCTAATAAGTTTTTAGAATTTTGTTATCATTCAAAGTGTGAAAACACTGCTAAACTCCTGGGTTTGGGTCTTACTGTGTGGTTTCCAACAAGTTTGTTATCTTGATTGGAGAGCTGAGCTTCAAGATGTGCATCTCAAATGATTATTTCATACCTTTGGCAAGAATCTAAGTAGTTATGATAAAAAAGAAATCATTTGTTTTTTTGAGGGGGTAAAGACGTATGGCTCACAGATGAAATTTTGCTAATGAGATAAAGATAATGTGTGACTTAAGAGTGAATCCCAAATCTGTATGCTGAAAATATGCAAGACATGAATGAGGTATAATTTAAACAGTGAGAAGAATATGCTTACATTGAGATGGAGCGCATTAGTTTCTTTGAGCTGGGTTGAAATCTATACAAACATACAAACACATCGAAGTGTTTAAGGCATGTTTGTGTGTTTTCTTCCTTGAATATTCAGTGATGTTAATGATCACTTTCTCCTTCATCCTCCAGGCCAAATTCTCTTCTAAATTCAGTCCCACCCATACTAACACAGGCCACGTGTATATATCCTGAAGCAGAATTCAGTTCTGTTGGCTGGAATGACGATGTCAATAAAAGAACATCCACATGCAAGGTTTGCAGTGGAGGTGACAGTCTGCATGCATTCCCCAACACGTTTTTTCCCTGGCACTAATTATCATGGTTTGACATGACTGCAAATTTTTCAGACACCATATGATTCTGGAAAACGAAAGTGTCAGTGAAAATTACACTCCATCAGCCTTAAACCTTCTTAAATGCCAGGGAAGTAATTTGATCTGTGCTGTGAGCCAAGTCTTCAAAAAGGTGCTGATCCCGATCATGTTTCATTCCGACCTAAGTGTTAGAAAATAATGGCTATTATTTACTTCTTTTAAACCATTACATTTTCTAAGCCTACTCTGTACAACACAGTGGCTACTAATGGCATGTGGCTAATCTAAATGAAGACGTGCATTAAGGTAAAATGCAACATATATTGAAGATTTAGCATTAAAAAATGTAAATACTTCATTAATAATTGTATGTTGATAAAAGGTCAAAAAGATACTTTTCAACAAGTAATAAATGAGTTAAAAATGTTATTCTTTTTAATATACTTAATATAATTATTAGAATATTATATATTATGTATGTATCTTGCATTACATAGTAAGTTCTCACTTAACATCATTGATAGGTTCTTAAAAACTGACTTTAACTGAAATGTGTAACAAGTATATGTTACTCAGATAAAATAGTTTCATTCAACAAAGATCTGGTTTTCTTTTTTCTCATCAGCATTACAATGAAGTGATGAAAACAAAATGATGTTATTTGAGGAACTCCTGTATCTCTATCAGATAGTGCTGTTCTAAACAATGAAGATTAATAAACCCTGTAAACTCACTGTTTGGTATATTTTAAAGTATACAGATCTAAAGAGGAACAGAAAAAGTAGACCACCCTTTGAGTCAGTCCCCACACACATTAAAGTTTAATCCTCTGGGATCATAAGGATATGGGTAATTTCCTTTTGCAGAGCAGAAAATGGTCATTTTCAAGAGCTACTGAACAACTTCTGCAGTAACAATCGATTCCTGGTGATCATTTTAATGTCATGCTGCAGCCAAAATGTCATTCTCATTATTAAACACACCCACCCTCTGAGCTGGGGAGGAGGACTATTCCATTGGCTGACAGCTAGGAGAGTGAAGCCGCACACCTGGCCCCAAAACACCTACTGCTAGCTCAGCCTTGCTGCCTGGCCCCACACCAATGCTCCCACCACACAGGAGATGTTTTTACTTACCAAATGCAACTTTTTTCCCATTTTCTTTTCACATGCTGTCCCTCTTCCTGGAATGCTCTGATTCCCTCTGTCTATAAAATTTCTACTTGCACTGTGAATTCCAATTCAGACACTTCCTCCTTTGTAAATCATCCTATTCTGCTCCCTCAGTACTCCAACATTCTCAGCTTTCAATAACCAGAGCACACCTACATTTCATTTTACTTATTTGATTTCCTTTCTTCCTGTCCTCCTATCATTTGTATTTTGCCATGTGGACAACAAACACTGTCAGGTCACCATAATAAGTGTTAGGGTGTGTGTGCATACTTACACACACATGTAAGCCGGTACACATTTGCAAATACACAACATGCAAAAGAAAAATCTACAAACCTGATATACAATAGTTACACACCAAAATGTTCAGTTGACTATATATTTCAAGTAAGTGACATAATACAGTCTCTGTCTTTTAATGACTGGCTTATTTCACTTAGCATAACATCCTCAAACTTCATCCACATTGTACATGTGTCTTTTCCCTTTTAAGGACGAATAAAGTCCCATTGTATATATATATACCACATTTTGCTTATGCATCCATTCATTGCTTCTTCGGATTGTTTCTAAGGCTCATAGCTACAAGCTACTTTGAATATTGTTGCCATCTACATGAGTACACAAATATCTCATTGAGACCCTGCTCTCAATTATTTTAGATATATACTCAGAAGTGGGATTGTGGATCATACAATTAATCTATTTCTATTTGAAAAACTACCATAATGTTTTTCATAGTACAATAGCTGCACCATTTTACATTCCCACCAACAGTCTACAAGGGTTACCATTTCTCTACATCCTCCCTAATACCTATTATTTTCTGTTTTTTTTTTTTAAAGATTTATTTATTCATGCATACAAGAGCCAGGGTACAGTACAGGCCAGATGTGCGGGAGGGTGAGAGGATTCACCAGAGACAGAGTGAGGAACAGAACAGGCAGACTGAAATACACTGCTGAATGGAGCAGCAGGAGAGACAGGAGAGGTCTGCCGCACCATGGGGAATCTCTCTGGTTGGCCAGGAATCGAACCCACACTGCAGAGACTGCGGACAGCTTCACAGTACTGTGTTCAACCCACTGTGCCACCAAGGGAGGCCCTATTTTCTGTTTTTTTGATAACAGTTATTCTAATGAATATGAAGTGATATCTCATTGTGGTTTTGATTTATATTTACCTAATGACTAAGTGATGCTGAACATCTTTTTATATGTCTAAGTGGCCATTTTTTTTATCTTCTTTGGAGAAAATTCTATTCAAGTCCTTTGTTCATGTTTTAATTGTGTGGTCAGTTTGGTTGTTGACTTTTAGTAGTTTTTCATATATTGTAAACAGTAACTATCAAATACATGATTTGCAAATATGTTAGCCCATTTTCTAGGCTACCTTTTTGCTAATTGTTTCTTTAGATGCAGTTTGCAATTTTGATGAAGTCCAATATATCTAATTTTATTTTTGTTGCCTATATTTTAATATTATATCCAAGGAATCACTGCCAACTTCAATGTATGACGCTTTTGCCCTATGTTTTCTTCTAAGAGCTTTATGGCTTTAGGTCTTATATTTAAGACTTTGATCAAATTTTAGTTTAAGGCCTGCATCTTTAAAAAGAACTTTATTCTTTTATATGTTAAATATCCAGTTTCCCTAACACCACTTGCTGAAAAAATTATTCTTTCCCCCTTGTAAGGTTTTGGCACCCTTGTCAAAAATAATAACCATATATGCAAGTTTGATTCCTCGGTGCTATATTCTATTCCATTGGTCTGTCTTCATGACAGTACCACACTGTTTGGACTACCACAGCTTTGTAATGAATCTTCAAATCGGGAAACGTGCAATCACCAACTTTGTTTTTAATTTTCAAGATTGTTTTGTATATTTGGAGTCCGTTGATATTCCATATAAATTTTTAGATGGATTTGTCTATTTCTACAAAAAAAAAGCCATTGGGATTTTGATAGACATCTCATTAAATCTGTAGATTAATTAGGGTAGTATCGATATTTTAATTATGTTAAGTCTTCTAATTCATGAATATAAATTGTCTTTCATTTATTTATGTCTTTTTTAATTTCAGCAATGTTTTGTAGTTTTCAGGGTACATATCTTCTGCCTCCTTAGTTAAGCTCTTTCTTAAGTATGTCATTCTTTTTGATACTATTATAAATGAAATTATTTTCTTAAATTTATTTTTAAATTTTTCATTGCTAATGTACACAAACATAACTGATTTTGTGTGTCTATTTTGTATCCTGCAACTTTGCTGAATTCATTTGTTAGTTCTAATAGATGTTTTGTAAAATCTTTATAGAGTTTTCTACATAAAGATCATATCTGTAGAGAAAGAAAACATTTTATCTTCCTTTAAAATTTGGATGACTTTTATTTGTTTTTTCTTGCCTACATGCTTTGGCTAGGACCTTCAGTACTAGGTTGAATGAGTCTCTTGCTTTACTGACTGAGTTAGCTGGGCTTCCTAATCCTATGTTGAATACAAGTGGTGGAGCAAAGCATCAACTTTTTCCTGATCTTAGAGGAAGAGCTTTCCATCTTTCACTGCTGAGTATGATGGTTGTTGAAGTGGATGAATTTATGTCTTTATTGATTAAGCCTTTTCTTTTTTTTTTAAGATTTATTTATTTATGCATACAAGATCTGGGCTACAGGCCAGAGATGCAGGGAGTGAGAGGATTCACCAGAGACAGAGTGGAGAATAGAATAGGCAGACTGACTGAAATACACTGCTGAGAGGAGCAGTGGGCGAGACAGGAAAGGTCTGCTGCGCCATGTGGGTTGCTCCCTGGCAGGCCGGGGATCAAACTCATGCTGCTGAGGCTGTGGATTGCTTCATAGTGCAGTGCTTAACCCCTTGCGCCACCAGGGAGGCCCAAGCCTTTTATTTTCACTAAGTAAAATCTTATTACATATCTACTATCTTTCAGATAATGTCCTACATTGGAAATTAAGCAATAAATGAAACAAATCCCTATTCCTATAGACTTTGTATTAAAAGAAGGAGAAAGATCAACAAATAAATATCTGATGTCCAAGTGGTAATACATCCCATGATACAACACAAAACAGAACTAGAAGGTGGGTATGACTGTGGAGATTGGTCTGGAAAGCCCCTTTGTGAAGCTCACTGATTCACTAACCATCTGAAGGACAAAGGATTGATTTAATAACTATGTAGGCATCACGCCACTGGAGTGGGGAAGAGGTAGATTAGGAGACCATCCCAATCCTGATGGATACTTCAGTGCTGTCTTGTAGAGAAGGAACGTGAAGACAAAGCACTGTACAGTTATGAATGATGAGGTGATAATAAGAAATCAATCAGCAAAGCCTGAAGAAAGTTTGCCTCTTCAGGATGCAAGCAGGGAGTGGGTAAAACAGCTCAAAATCCAACAATTGTTAAGGTTCCTAAGTAGGAGTCAACAGGACTAGTGAGGAGTAACTCAAATATACCAGTATCACCTTAATGAAGCTCTGAGCCCAGGGAAGTCAAGCACAGCAGGCAAAATGACAACCTGAGGCACCACCGACCTCAGAATAAACACAGAACATCAGCACACACATGTGAAACCTGTGCACGTTATATCCATGCTCGCAGATTACGTCACAGAACCACCACACTTTCAATTTACACCCCAGTGAGGGAAAAAATCTTAAATTTCTATAGAAAAGTGTTAAAGTAGTGTGTGTTCCTCTGTCTTTCCTGGTAACATGAGTGCATTCAAAAACAACCAGATTCCTCTCCTTGAAGTACAGGGTTAAACAAAATTCAGGACCAGCAATGGAAATGCAGCTGTCTTAAGTGATAATATCTATGAAAAAATGGACTGGATTAGCCAGGCAGCATCCAGAGAAATATGTATATCATCATGATTGCCTCCCATTTATAGCCCAGTCTCTTGGGAAGGTGCTGATAGGGGCTGCCAAAGAAGATAAATCAATTCATTCCAATTGGACTTGGTGGTGACTTTACCACTTGCAC